TGATAATACGAATACATTTACAAAGATGCAGAATGTCAAATATAACAACTCATTCCGAGTCACTCACTGACATTTGAAAGGCTCATAGTGTATTATAGTTCCCATTGTCGCGATACATCATCTCCTAATAATGAGATTATAAGTTGCACTGTTTGCTTTAAGAAAAGAAGGCAAATCATTTATTCTACTTGACCCCTTTGACCATCAAAAGAAGCTTTTGGATGCTGCTCGTTTTAACGCTTGACAAAATCCTTGAAAAAGTCCAGTTTGTCTTTGATGGTAATTGATTTCTTCTCCAAATACAAACAGAAGACAGATCACTTTGTTTGTCTTCATCCACCTTTTCCTTCTCTAAATTAATAATATTCACTTTTTCCGTTGGTTATCATACACCATCAAACAACACTCGCACCTTCTTGCACGTCCTTACAAACTGTTTGCTCCTCACAATAACAACCACCTGTTCCTGTAATGCTGCTGATTATATCGACCTTGTGGCCTAATTTACAGCGTCCTTACGCCCCCAAGTGGTGGGAGGTGAACAAAACAACAAAATGTTATATTTAAGTGAAATAATACCACAGAGTAACTTGCAAATGTCTCTGCTTTAGCTTTTCCCTCCCCAGCGTGTAAAGTCTGCTCGCGTCTCTGCTGCTTTTCATTGGCTTTGTAAAGAGAAGAAGTAAAGATCTGAACCCTGGAAATAAATCTTTTTGTTGTTTTATTCCTCTGCACCGGAGTCTCAGTCCTGATCGCTCACACTAACAAAATCATTCCTTCTTCTTTTGCTTCCAGCTGGTTGAAATCAAGACGCTGCACCAAACCACAGGAGGTAAGACATCAGAAGAGGAGAGATATTTCATGATCAGGCCCTTGTTTGGTTTACAACATTAGCACAGGAATAATCCTTCAATGGTCCAATGCAGTGAAGCACGTCTCCAAACGAATGCTGATGATGCTCTGTGTCTGCTGGATGGTGTCTTTGCTAAGCTGTGTGCCATAAAAGCTTCTTCAAGTGCTTCCATTCATCCATAAGAACAAAATATCCACAATGACAACCTACAAAAATGAAGACTATGTAAGAACTATTAAAACACAACGTAGTTAGAACAGCTTTAAACCTGCATTCATTTATTAAGGGCCAGTGCATGAAGTTGTAAACACAACATGGACATTTCATCACTTCATAAAGATGATATGGTGAACTTTATCACGTGTGCGTGTGTGTTTAACATGTTCTACCTACTTTAGGTGGTGCATTGCTCCCATGCTGTTCTGTGACAAAGACACATCTGTAACACAAAGACAAGCTGCATCCGTTTTCATCTGAATAGTAACTAAAACAGTAGAGGACGACTATGTTAACATGGTGGTGGAGTTACATCCGTCATGAGCCAGAAGAGGAAGAGGATGCTATAAAGCTGTATCATCTTTTCTTTTACATTACATTTCATTTAGCTGACGCTTTTATCCAGAGCAACTTAGAATAAGTGCATTTCAACCATAAGAATACAGACACAAAAGAACAAGAAACATGAGTGTAATTTCTTCAAATTAGCCGATCTACAATGCTATATATCAGAGCCAATATAAGTACAATTTAAGTGCTACAATGTGCTAGTCTTTTAGTCGAGGTAGAGTCTGAAGAGATGTATCGTTAGTTTGCGGCGGAAGATGTGAAGACTCTCTGCGGTCCTGGTGTCTTCAGAGCGCTCGTTCCACCATTTAGGAGCAAGAACAGAAAAGAGTCGTGTTGTTGAGTGTTTTGCTCTCAGTGAGGGAGCAACAAGCAGTTCATTCATCACTCGTCTTACAACAATGTGTGTAGCTTCTCTCTTAATACTTAATGGTTTTCTATTCTTTAAAGATGAATGATGACTAATGTTTATAAGCTTTCTGTGTGCTTTTCTTAAAATCATCAATAACAGAAAGTAAAATCATCCTCTTAATTTTTCATCTCGTGTTTATTGGATGTAAAGTGTGTAAAATGAATAAAAACGATGCGTTTCATTAAGCAGAAAGTGTTGATTCATTATTTCGTTGAGCAGCTACACACACACTCATGATTTATATGTATCTGTGCATGTAACTTATATAACGTGTAGAATAAGTTCACCTGTTCAAATGTGTCATACTTATCATGTCAGGCGAGTTATGTATGATAAACATGTAGCCTGATTAAAATGATGAGACCGGACACTAAGATTCTTTTATTTCCCCCGACTGCCCTCCTGGAGCACAGCCTTCATTTGTTAAATTCAGAAGGCACTTAGGACAGTGTAACAAAACAATGTTTTCTGTATGGCATGACAACATGGAATAGAACATTCACATTTGTCTCATGCTGTTTAACACCTAACGTGACTCCTGATGCGGACTTTCGTAATTTGAGGCTGTTTACAGACGTTTTTATGGTTGATCGGTTGATTGAAGTGATGTTAATTTATGCATGTCAACAAATCTACGTGTCAAATGTGACGAATATATACAAACGTTTACACGTGTAATTAATACAGGAAAGTAGATTTGATGAGAGACAGTAGTAAGAAGACTCGGGCCGATGGTCTATAGTAGAGGTCACTAACTGACGGACCGCGGTCCGGATCCGGACCCAGAAGTCGTCCCATCCGGACTCGGACCTGAAGCTAAATCAGACGGTAGCGAACGAGTCTTTGAATCGTACTGAATTCATTTGCCTTGTTAGTTGTGTATTGATTAGATGGAGATGTTGATACAACAAAATCACAATAAATAGGTACATTGCGATCTTTCGGACCTTTGCTTCTAGAAATGTTCTCTAACTGGACCTCTTTACATTTCAGTTGAGTACCACTGGGCGATAGTCTGAAAAGTTTCTCTGTAATTTCACTGTACTGCTGATATGAGTGTAGCTTGTAGCTAGCATGACGCTACTTTATCTAGCCAATGGAAATTGGGCAATTAATGTGTGACATCATCTGTTATTGAGGGAAGGGGGGCAGGGTCTAAAGAAAGTATTATTGCGCCAGTTTGGGAAGCTTCTCGGTTTGTTTCAACCTCCTAAATAAGTAAAATACAATGTTTTTCATAAGGCGGGCTACATCAAGCACTTTCATACACTTTTATTAATGATGCAAATAATGTGTATTTGAGAGAGACTGCACTTTTGTTGGAAGCCAGCAGTGGTTCTTATGATCAGACATATTGTTTATGTGGATAAACCTCCAATATAATATGTTGCTAGATTATATAAGAGGTTAAGTGGAATTTGATGTTTTCAACTCAATGTTGTCTTGTGTGTTCCTGTTTATGTTCCTGGGATCAGAAAGTGACAAGAGAGAACGCTGAAAGTGAGAAGAGAGGAAGCAAAAGAAATGAGACGGGAGGTGAATGAGAGGATAAGACTCAAAATAATCAGAAATTGAGAAGACGGAGGGAAAAAGAAGGCAAAAGAAAGAAGAGAGAGAAGAAAGAAAGATTTTTAAAAAGTGTAGAAATAGGAAGGACAGAAAGAAATTAAAAAGGTAGTCACGGGTTTCCACTAACGAAGCCTCAGGTCCTGGCCCACGCTCTGCATTAATCATCGGCACCCTGAATCCCCCAAATTAACGCTAGGCCAGACGTGATGGATACATTTTAGGGAGCGGCAAAAACATTGCCTCACTGCCCGGGCCCCAGACATCATTGACCGTGGGAGAGCATGCTGTGCCAAGAGGGGGCTAATTCAGGAGTATTTTAGGCTCCTCAGCACCACCCTGGCGGAGCACGGGCTGACGGAGAAACCCTTCTAGTTGTACAATTGCGACGAGACGCAGACTATAGGCTAATCCAGGAAACTAGGGAACACATCACTGTCCTGGCCTGCCTGAACGTGGTTGGAAGGATATCCCCCCTTTCATCATTTATAAGGGGGGATATCCAGGGGGGCCCTATAACAAAGAAGGGGTCCTGTTAGGGATTTAAGCCAGAAGTGCACCCCTAGCCAAGAAATTATAGTACGTGTAATAATGTTTAGTGTTAGAATTATAGTTTGTGTGATGTTAGATATTAGGTATTACATTAACATGTTAGATGAAGTGAATGCAATTTCAATCAAACACAATTCATAGTCATTTAAATCATATAAACACTGTACACATTAACATTCTGTCACAATGTGATGTTAAAACCTGGGGACGGATGCCAATTGCCGTCCTTTATGGATTTCTCCCAATTTCATCCCCAAAGAGGGTTTTTTGGGAGTTTTTTCTCCTGTCAGGTAATAAATGAACAACTTAATGCGAGGCAGCCGACAGAGGCAAATGTCTTGAGAATTGAACCACAAGAACTGTCTTAGAAATATGATGAAGTGTGATGAACAGGGATCATTAATGATGGGTTGTTGTAATGAAAGTGTACTAGTTATAAGATGAAGACTTAAACGATGTATGCTTTGTAAAATTCACTCATTGAGGCATAAAGCCAAATGTATCTACATTGAGTGCATTGGAATGTGAGGGACAGATAGGACAGAGAGGTTTCAGGTTACAGCTGCAGCTTCACACCTCGACGTGAAAGGGACAGTCCAGGAGGTGGCCCTTTGGAGAAGAAGCCAATGACATTCAAATGCACCAAGGAAGACACACCTCAAGAGTTTTCAAAGGACCAAAGCGGGGAAAGGACTGGAAGAATTTTCCTGCAGCCGCTTTGATAAGTCACTTTAGACTTGCTCAGAGGATTCTCTATTTCGCAAAATATTTTACTGTTCGCTTAGTATTTCACTTTGTAATTGCATTCCTTATAACGTTGTTCAGTTATTAAATAACTTTTGATTTTTGAATTTAAACGAATTGACTCATTCGTGTCCTCGTTTCCGGCCGGGACGAGAACAAAGGAGTGAGGCCTCCCTCGAGAGCTTTCCGAAACCCTAACAGTCCCCGATGCTCTCTACGGGAAGTCCTCAGCAGGGTATATGGACAGAGAGCTGTTCAGGAAGAGGTTGGTTGAGCACTTCCTGAAGTTCGCCGCACAGCCGAGGCACCTCTCCCTTAAACTCCCGGTACCTACATCAGCCAAGGCACAGCTCCCTTTGGTTGTTGCAGGTCGTGGCAAGACTCCTTTAACTTGAGGTACCGCTAGAGATACCTCTCTCGACCGATGAACCGGCCCCTGAATTCGTGGTACCGCTCGAGGTACCTCACTCAGCCGAGGCAACAGACGAGGCAGTTGGCGTAAACTTGAGGCAGCTGCCACGATTCGCCGCGGCATCGCATCCTGCATCAAGTGCCTCAGCGAGTTGCCGGTGCCACGATTTGCGCTAGCCCTCTCTCTAGGGTGCTGATCCACCTTCTGTTGTCCTGTAGGGAGAGACACGAAGAGACATTGGGGATGTGGATATTTCAAGCATATTAAAAAAAATAAGTGATTGGGATTGTTAACACATCAACTAACGTTTCTTAAAAAATTGTCTTCAACTTGAATTCATTAAGTAATTGCGCTTATTGACAAAACTATTGACGATTATTGCGTTTTTTTATTAAGCATTGAGAGAGAGAGAGAGAGAAAGAGAGAGCGAGAGAGTGAGAGAGAGAGTGAGAGTGAGAGAGAGTGAGAGAGAGAGTGAGAGTGAGAGAGAGAGGCCCACAGAGTGGTTATTGGAGTAAACGTTACAGAAGATTGTGGACAAACTTTTTATGTCGTTTTCTCAAGTTTACTCAAACATTTCGGGAAATTGTGGGTTCTCATGTGCGGTTGCGCTGAGATTCTATTCACTATTTATACACTTGCTTGCAGTGTGTTTCGATACAATCAGCGGCCATTCAGATGGCTTTCAGTTTGCCCTTTGACATGGTCACCCGAAAGCATATTCGCAACATTCCACTGTCGTAAAATCGCATACTTACTATACGTTGAATCACCCGGCCAAAGAGTATAGAGACATCAGAGGAATCACTGTTTTTCACCCAAAACTCACTCGCACTGTTTGTAAATTTGAGCCTGCTTTTTACTTATTTGTAAAAGATGCAGACATCATCTCCACTTGCTCTTCCTCTTCTGCCTGTGAAGGGTGGAAATGACAACGTTTTTCCAAATTGGGCATCCAGTGTATGATTTGTATCCCTTTGTAAGCTTATCTAATGTGTATTTTGAAGAAGACGAAATAGTAGTGTTGTTACCTCCGGCCCTCCTGCTTCGAAGCTTGTGTCGAAATATGAACCAGTGCAAGGCAAAGCAAATGTATCGGTGCTTGGTTTGTTCACTGCTGATCACATGATCACTGACGTCCGAAGCTTTGTTCCGGCGCACAGTCACGTGACCGCTTCAATTTGATTCAAATGGGCTCGAAACAGGATTCGGGCTTGTCGGTTTGATACAGTCAAAGTCAGTATTGTTGTAGTAGTAGTAGCAAAGAGCAAATTTGCAATGGAACCTGTGGCAGAGAGGTCGCTCCGAGATGTGGGAGCACTACAATTTGATTTCCTCTAACACGGTTGGCAATAGGCAGGCAAAGTCTGTCATTTGTATTGTGTAGTTATGGATGTTTATTTTTATTGTGGAGACCATCAGATATTTGGCTGAATCAAACATTCCACGGAGTGAAGACCCGCTAAAATATTGGGACAAACATGTGTACCCACATCTATTTGTATTAGCACGTAATCTTATGAGTATTCCTGCCTCATCCGTGCCGTGTGAGCGCCTTTTTTCTAAGGCAGGGGAAATAGTATCTGCAAAAAGAAACCGACTCAACCCCAATACTGTGAAGAAAATTGTGTTTCTCAATAAAAATCAATAATTTCATGCCCCATCCCATGTGTCAACAAGCATATATATATATATATATATATATATATATATATATATATATATATATATATATATATATATTGAGAAAAGATCAGGGGTCTCTTTGTTAAAGCAGTGCGAAGGATCCCCTCCAAATATGTGCACGCGTTCAAAGGAGGAAATGCACGCACTCCAAAACACATCCAAATGTGTAAAGCATCGCGTTGCCAGTGGGCCATTTCCTTTTAATAAATCGATAATTAACCTGTGTAGGTGCACGACTGAACAAAAAGCTGCATCTCTAACAGAGTAACAAGTGTAATACAATTCTGTGTTTACCTTCTACAGTCAGATGGACCTCTGAGGATGTTTGATCACCAAGCTGATTGGTGGCCACACAGTAATAAACTCCTCCATCAGTGACATTGAAGCTGTAAAAGTCTCCTTCAGATACTTTGATTGGTGCATCTCTGCTGGTCTTGAACCAGGTGAAGCGGCTCACAGGAGGTTTGGCTCTGCTGGAGCAGGTCAGGTTCACCCGGCTACCTGCTGACACCCAACATGATGGACTGATGGACACCGAGGTGTTCTTGGGAGCATCTGAGGAAAATGTGACATTAAAACTTTAAGCAGCTGACATCGTGTGAACACATGAATCAACGTATGCTGACAGGATCAAAGAACAAACACTCACATGAAACACTGAGAGTCTTTCTCTCCTCTGACGTCTTTACATCTTTTCCTTCATTCACAGGATATCTGGCAGAACAGCTGATGATGAATCCATCATGTTCATGTGACAGAGTGATGCTCTTCTGGATTCTAGTTGTGAAGGTTCGATCTGTGTTTTCCTCCATCATGTGGTGAGAGTCTGGTTGGAGGTTCCAGGTGAGTTGAGGAGGAGAGTGTGGACAGGGAGTGGAAGCTGAGCAGCTGATAGAGACAGACTCCTTCTCCTTCACATCACCTGAGATCTCAATCCTGGGCTTTGGGGGAGAATCTGTGGTTTCAAATCAAACAGATTGTACACTGAAAAAAGAGCAACAAGACTTGAGTCTACAGTCTCTGATGAAAGTACTTCTCTACATTTGAGAGTGAAATGTTTTACTTTTACTCCACTATCAGATGTTGGATTATGGATTGTTTATTAAATGTGTTTTTGTTGCTTCTTGTCATTTTCCTGACGTTTCTGAAGGTCAGCAGATTCATCAACGTGTCTCCTCTGAACTTCTCACATGGCTTTATTTAATAATTATCACTACTTCATAATGAAGCCAAGATTGGAGAAAAGTCCAAAATATGACTTTATATATGTAACAGAACTTTTCTCCTTCCTTTCCCACCAATCACCTCATGATCCCTCAGATTTAACTTTAAATGCAAAGGTTGGCATGTACAGGCAGTTTTCTCATGGGATTAGTATATACATCTATGTAATATAAAATTATACATGCTGTATATGCACATTACAAGTTAACTTCTACTTGTTTCTGTTTTTATTATAAATAATCCCCCCCAAAATTTCTTTTACCTTCAACTCTTATTTTAAGAACATCACATGAAGCGGTTGATAGAAATGGCCGGTTCTCAACCCTGAAGTAGTATGTGTCTGTGTATGTTGTCTTTAAACTGGAAAATAAAGTGGAGCAGTTTTTCTGACTCAAGTCTCCAGTAGAACTCATCGGATATGTGGAAACTGTCCCACTACTGTTGAAAATCACATTATTGGGATAAAGGCCAAAGCGAGAGTCGTTTTTAATCCACACTCCAAAGGTTGTTGTTTTGCTGTTGAATTCCAGTCCTTGTTTAACTCTGAAGTTACATGGAATTTGCAAACAAGATCCAGTAAGTGCTTCCATCTCTTTTTTTGCAGTGATAAATAGATCTGGATTCTTATCACAATCAGCAAACGCATCTGTGAAACAAACTAAAGAAAACAGTGGTGATTAAAATGTGTAAAAACACAACAATAACATGAACATAAAGGGAAATATACTTCAGCTCAGGAGGAAAACACAGATTGTAACATTCACATTATATTGTTGAAATGGTTGAAACTATATTTTCCAAACAGTAAATGATTGAAGTGAAACACAAGTGAGTGAAGATGAAGCTCACCTGAGGGGAAGAAGACACTGTGCAACACGATGGCTGTCACCATCCTAACAGACTGGTCGGCCATGACACTCACCACCTGATTCACAAACACAACATCAGTGTTCTAGGAAGCGTTCAACATGCTGTGTGCAACCACAAGTTCCTGTGTGTGAAGAGACCACAGCTCACAAGTCTGTGGACGAGTACGACTCTGAGTGTTGGATGAGAATAAAACTATGAATGTCTCCCTCTTACCAAAGAAGCCCACGTCCATAACAGAGGGACAATTAGATCAAGTGCAGGTCTTTGTTTTAGCAGAGTTCTCCCCTTAACTGCTCATATCCGTGAGTCTATATCATCTTTATGTATCACACACATCACAATAATAATAATGTAGCATTAACAGTCAGTGACTTGAGTTTAGTCACTGTGAATAACTCTGAGTCTCTGTCTCTGCATTACAGGACTGATGAACCTGAAACACTTTCATTGTGTTATTACAATTTAAACTTTAAATAAATGAACCTGATAGCAAAAACATTTCCTCATTCATAGTTTCTACTTCCCCTTCATCTCATTTATTTAAATCCTTCAAATTCTCTTTGCATTGATACAACACGCAATCAGTAAAATTGTTGGTGAATAATTATAATAAAATCTCTCATAACTATTTCAATAAGATTGTAAACCCATAAAAAATGATGTATTGAAGGTGACATTAACTTACATTGAGTGTTTCTTCTTCAGTGCAGTCTGCTGTCTGACAAGTTCAATGCAGAAGTCACAGTTCTGTGAGAGGAAGGAGGAGGAACTGGAAGGTGGAGCTAATTCACACACTAAAACCGTAAAATTCTGGAAAAATACCACAACGTCCATTAATTCACCAGCCAACGATTAAATAAATGTCCTTTAAATGAATAAATCAAATATTTATTGTCTGATAAATATCATGTTTCTTTTATTTATGTGGACCTTGTGAATGCATTGATCATTTTGAAATGGATATACACTAGATAGAGTGAGTATTGTTAGTTTTTTTTTTTGTTTCAGTTTTTCAGTTATTTCCTGTTTTTTTTGGTATTCTTATATATATAATTCACTTCCTGTCGTTGTGTTTTTCCTGCTTGTGTGATTACCTAACTGATAACTGATAAGTCACACTGTCCGTAACGGATGTCTCTTGTTTCTGTAGCTGGATCTTGAACAGCCGGCTCCTCAGGTGCTTGGAGATAAATGGACCGGACAAGAACTGTTGTGAAGCTCCTTCATCTATTTCCTTCAGATTCCCTCATCAAGACATACAACTATAAGACAGTGGCGATTATTCTAAATAACCAGATTTTTGTCGACACAACAGAAAACCCAGTGGATTGTTAACATGGGGTTTTTAACAGGATGTTTCATCTTCCTGTGTGTGTCCACATTTAGTCCCTAATGAGGAACCAGTTCACACAAGAGAGAAGACAGTGTGACCAGTTAGAAACAAACTCTTTATACATACTTATCTAAACTACATTTAAGTCTTTTCCTACATTTGTCAGTTGTGAAGTTGAACGTTTCGTCTTAAACCACCTAGAAGACAGAACAGAGCTGTCAGCTTCATTTCTACGTGTAATAAATAAATAATTAAGCACCGTAAGTGCAATTTAGATGAATACACTAATCTGTAAACATTAAGTTCAGAAATCTTTGACCACATTCAACATTCACAGCAGATGGAATACAGTCGGATGACATTGTGTGACTCTTTAAAACAATAAACAATAATCTGCTGTGAAATGAATATCTGCGTTCTATATATGCATGTTTCAACCTGAAGGCAGCATGTAGGAGACACAGTAGTATTGACCAGGTAAAGAATCACGAGGAACACTTTACCTCTGAATGATGTGTTTTAGAGTGGATGAATCCGGAAGTGATTTGCGGTACTCAACAAATGAAAACACCAGCAACGATGAGTATGATGATCCCTACAAGTACTGCAATCCATGGTGACAAACCTCCAAGCTAGTTTACTCCTACATTAAAAAAACACAAGTGACCAATCAAGTGAAGAAGCTGCTCAGTTTGATTTCAGTCAGTATTTTGCAAACGTTTCCCATTTTTTGCAGACGTGATGTTCTGTGTTTACCTTCTAAAGTCAGATGGATATCTGATGTTTGATGACAGAGACCACTGTAATGATAAATGGACTGTACTTGTATAGCGCTTTTCTAGTCTTCCGACCACTCAAAGCGCTATAACACTACATGACATCATTCACCCATTCATACAGTGATGACAGGAGCTGCCATACACAGCGCCACCTGACCATCAGTAACTTAACATTCACACACTGTAGTCGCAGCTACAGGAGCCATGTAGGGGTGCCCAAGGACACATCGACATGCGGGTTAGCAGAGCCTGGGATCCAACCGCCAACCCTCCGATTGGAGGACGACCGTGCTCCCCACTCCCCCACTGTCTATTGCTGAAAGTGGTTGTACTGTGGCCTGCATCATCGCACTATGGTACTGCATTCAGGTATGCAGTTAGGACAGTAGTTAGACACTGATGTTCGTGAGAATTCAGCCCCTGTATGTAATGTGTCCACCTGCCCAGTACAGCCATCCAGTCTGCCAACCAAACGGTCTTTTGATGTCAAATGTGGAAATCTCACAAATCTGACAGACTTCTAACCTCCACAACTTGCTCTCGTCTTACCATGATGTCTTCAGTAAAACGAGACTACAGTAATACAGACATCATCAAACATAACATTCTCACACAAGATGCAACCACAGTTAGGAAGTGTGCATATCGTCCATATCCAAAACAAACAAAACATTGATTAAGAGAAATGAGTCACAGGCCCTGGGCAGCACCTGTGGTGATGGTCAGAAAAAATGACAGCGCGCGCGCACACACCTTTTTGTGTCACGGTAAACGATGCGCACCATTTGCCCAGACACATAAAACATAATGCAGTTCAACCGTTTTTATTGCAAATGTTCAGAGAAGTCAGAACTTCCCATCCAATACAACAAATACAAAATAACAAACCTCTGGTGTACGAGTCTTCATTGGAGCTTCTATCACAGGGGCGTTGTGACGGTTCCCTGCTGTATTACTTGTGCGCCTGAGTCGCTTATGTTTGGTTACCATTTGAAAGAAGTAAGATAATGGTGACAATGAATATTGTGCATTATTTGCATCTAATTGTTATTCTTAAACCTGTTCTATGAGGTCTGAAGCCACGGCGGCTGCTGAGCATCAAGGTACTGAAGCGCACATCTGACCTTCATGTGGTCTGGGCAGCGATGTGGATGTGGGGGCCTGTTCGAGGTACCAGGTCTTTCTGCCAGAAGGAGACGGAGGAGTTGAGCAAGTTCTCCCAGCAAGTTTACATACTGTGATGTCTTGAGAGGTCGGCATCGTGAGGCGTGGGTGCAGAAAATAAAGGCGACAAACAATGCTTCGAAAACTCAGTCTACTATTCGTCTTACGTTATCAAAAAGGTGAACTTAATTCTGACAAAAAAAAACACTACAACAACACTGCTAATGTTTACAGGATGAAACCCAGAGATTTTGTGTAGCCTGATTAAAATGATTAGACAGGACACCAAGATGAATTCATTTTTAATGTGGGTCCTTTATTTGCCCCGACTGCCCTCCTGGAGCAATTTGATAAATTAAGAAGACACTTAGGACAGAGTACAACAAACAAAACAATTGCTTTTTACTAAACGTTAACTTGTGTATGACATGACAACATGGAATAGAGCCACATATAAAACAACAGTAGTGACTTCCTCCTGTTAAGCAGAGACAAAGAACATTCACATATGTCTCATGCTGTTCAACACTTACATCACCGTTATTCTTCCAAAAGTTGAGAAAATAATGAACTCACTTGAGCGCCTGTGTGCACGGATCCATACATGTGTGATGTTGACTCACCGCAGCTTCTGTCTCCCTCTAAAAGACGAATCCATATAAAAGAAGCAGAAGCGACCGCGCATGCGTGAGGACCGTTCTGTAATTCTCACAGTAGCAAAGTCATCCGGCGGCGGGCCGCGAGTTTGACTCCTATGGTACTTAAAGTGTCACTTTCTCTAATCCTGTATGTGGACCATCTAGCAGTATGAACACCTCTCTGCCCCCACGTCACCCGGCTACATTTGTTTCTAGAAAAGTCCGACAGTTGTAACGTTTTTACTCATTGTCATGTACGGTAGTCTAGTGCGCTTGCGCAGGTACTTTCTGCTCATTGTTTTTATTCATTTTATACACTTTACATCGAATAAAGACGAGATAAAATATAAGAGGATGTTTTTATTGATGATTTTTAGAAAGACACACAGAAAGCTAATAAACATTATTCACCATTTACTGTTACAGAACAGAATGTCATTAAGTATTGAGAGAAAAGCTACACACATGGTTGTAAGAAGCGCACTAAGACTAATGAATAGCAGGTCGTCGTGGCGTAGGGGCAGAGAGGGTCCGCTAGGAACTGCAAGGTTGGTGGTTCAAGTCCCAGCTGCCCCATGTCCCAAGTCAAAGTGTCCTTGAGCAAGACACCTAACCCCTAATTGCTCCCCGGGCAAAAATGTAAAAAGCCATGGGTTAAAAATGTAATGTAAGCTTTGGATAAAAGCTTCAGCTAAATGACCTGTAATGTAATAATGAATACAGAGAAGAAGATACAGCTTCATAGCTTCCTCTTCCGCCTGATGGCCACCATGTTAACATAAATGTCTTCTTCTGCGTCCTGCAGTGGAAAGAGTTTTAGTTACTATACAGATGAAAACGGATGCAGCTTGTCTTTGTGTTACAGATGTGTCTTTGTCACAGAACAGCATGGGAGCAATGCACCACCTAAAGTAGGTAGAACATGTTAAACACACACACACAGACACACTGAGGATAATGTTCACCATATCATCTTTATGAAGAAATGTCCATGTTGTGTTTACAGCTTCATGCACTGGCCCTTAATAAATGAATGCAGGTTTAAAGCTTCACTGCATTGCTCTTTAAACATCACCACCATTGAAGGATTATCCATCCATCCATTGTCAAACCGCTTATCCTGCACACACGGTCGCAGGGGGGCTGGAGTCCATCCCAGCCAACTTCGGGCGATAGACAGGGTACATCCTGGATTGGTCGCCAGCCAATCGCAGGGCTACACAGAGACATACAACCATTCACACTCACACATCTACGGGCAATTTAAAGTCCCCAATTAACCTGATCCCCAGAGCATGTCTTTGGACTGTGGGAGGAAGCCGGAGAACCCGGAGAGAACCCACGCAGACACGGGGAGAACATGCAGACTCCACACAGAAAGGCCACTGGGCGGAATCGAACCCAGGACCTTCTTGCTGTGAGGCAACAGTGCTAACCACCACGCCACCGTGCCGCCCCATTGAAGGATTATTCCTGTGCTAATGTTGTAAACCAAACAAGGGCCTGATCATGAAATATCTCTCCTCTTCTGATGTCTTACCTCCTGTGGTTTGGTGCAGCGTCTTGATTTCAACCAGCTGGAAGGAAAAGAAGAAGGAATGATTTTGTTAGTGTGAGCGATCAGGACTGAGACTCCGGTGCAGAGGAATAAAACAACAAAAAGATTTATTTCCAGGGTTCAGATCTTTACTTCACTTTTTCTCTTTACAAAGCCAATGAAAAGCAGCAGAGACACGAGCAGACTTTACACGCTGGGGAGGGAAAAGCTAAAGCAGAGACGTTTGCAAGTTACTCTGTGGTTATTATTTCACTTAAATGTAACATTTAGTTGTTTTGTTCACCTCCCACCACTTGGGGGCGTAAGGACGCTGTAAATTAGGCCACAAGGTCGATATAATCAGCAGCATTACAGGAACAGGTGGTTGTTATTGTGAGGAGCAAACAGTTTGTAAGGACGTGCAAGAAGGTGCAAGTGTTGTTTGATGGTGTATGATAACCAACGGAAAAAGTGTTATGATATATTATTAATTTAGGGAAGGAAAAGGTGGATGAAGACAAACAAAGTGATCTGTCTTCTGTTTGTATTTGGAGAAGAAATTAATTACCATCAAAGACAAACTGGACTTTTTCAAGGAATTTGTCAAGCGTTAAAACAAGCAGCATCCAAAAGCTTCTTTTGATGGTAAAAGGGGTCAAGTAGAATAAAAGATTTGTCTTCTTTTCTTAAAGCAAACAGTGCAACTTATAATCTCATTATTAGGAGATGAGGATGTATTGCGACAATAATAATAATAATACACTATGAGTCGTTCAAATGTCAACAAGTAACAAGGACTGAGTTGTTTTGTTTGACCTTCTGCCTCTTTGTAAATTTATTTGTATTATCATCATTATGAATATTGATAATAAATTATGCATTAATGCATTACAACATTCACAATGACACAAACTGGTGTGTATCTGCACACAATCATATTGTACAAAAGGTTTTCTCACCACGCAAAGATGACCAAAGTAGTGACGAGCAGAATGATTCCCAGGACCGTCACGATAACCTGAGCACCAACCAGTTGATCACCTGCAACACAACGACATGGTCACCTTTAAAATGTTATCACTCATAATTCCTGCAGTGACCTTCAAATACCAACAGATGTTCTGTCGATAGCTGAATGTGCAGCTCATTTCTGCATCCACAATAACACAATGTGCCTCCATCACTGCTGGTCACTTCACAGCCATGAAGACTTGATGATGATGAGAAAAGATCAGGGGTCTCTTTGTTAAAGCAGTGCGAAGGATCCCCTCTAAATATGTGCACGCGTTCAAAGGAGGAAATGCACGCACTCCAAAACACATCCACATGTGTAAAGCATCGCGTTGCCAGTGAGCCATTTCCTTTTAATAAATCGATAATTAACCTGTGTAGGTGCACGACTGAACAAAAAGCTGCATCTCTAACAGAGTAACAAGTGTAATACAATTCTGTGTTTACCTTCTATAGTCAGATGGACCTCTGAGGATGTTTGATCACCAAGCTGATTGGTGGCCACACAGTAATAAACTCCTCCATCAGTGACATTGAAACTGTAAAAGTCTCCTTCAGATACTTTGATTGGTGCATCTCTGCTGGTCTTGAACCAGGTGAAGCGGCTCACAGGAGGTTTGGCTCTGCTGGAGCAGGTCAGGTTCACCCGGCTACCTGCTGACACCCGACCTGATGGACTGATGGACACCGAGGTGTTCTTGGGAGCATCTGAGGAAAATGTGACATTAAAACTTTAAGCAGCTGACATCGTGTGAACACATGAATCAAATGACGAGGCCGTGTTCTGCAGTTATTCAACAGTTCACGTTATCGGATGATGACGAATCCATCAGCCGCTCCACAGAAGACCAAGAGTGACTCGTACAGCAGAGAGTAGGAGAACTAAATATTAGATATTAAGCCACATTTGATTTTAGGTTTGAGTTGGTTTACAACTTTAACGATTGAAACGTGTGTACTGTTATATACACTAGTACAAGAACCAATGACTCTTCTGGTTTTACTGTTAATGACGAAGAGGATCTATTGCTGCAAAGTAACGCGGGATGGATGTTAAATATAAGATGTTTTGTTGTAATGATGCATCGCACATTTAATTTTTACAGTCCGGCTTTAATTCACCATCTGTGTCTCCAAAACGTCAAAAATGTTTTTATAGATTAAAACTTCTGCTTTTAAAGTGGCTCGGCCTCTTTAGGAAGCCAATTTGTGCAAACGCCATGAATATAAATGAGACCTTAAATGTGTAAAAAACACTTTTTTGCAAATCTCTATGGAAACAAAAGGCTGAGTTCCTAACAGACTAACAAATGTAACCCAGTTCTGTGTTTACCTCCTATAGTCAGATGGATCTCTGATGATGTTTGATCACCAAGCTGATTGGTGGCCACACAGTAATAAACTCCTCCATCAGTGACATTGAAACTGTAAAAGTCTCCTTCAGATACTTTGATTGGTGCATCTCTGCTGGTCTTGAACCAGGTGAAGCGGCTCACAGGAGGTTTGGCTCTGCTGGAGCAGGTCAGGATCACCCGGCTACCTGCTGACACCCAACATGATGGACTGATGGACACCGAGGTGTTCTTGGGAGCATCTGAGGAAAATGTGACATTAAAACTTCATGCAGCTGACATCGTGTGAACACATGAATCATCGTATGCTGACAGGATCAAAGAACAAACACTCACATGAAACACTGAGAGTCTTTCTCTCCTCTGACGTCTTTACATCTTTTCCTTCATTCACAGGATATCTGGCAGAACAGCTGATGATGAATCCATCATGTTCATGTGACAGAGTGATGCTCTTCTGGATTCTAGTTGTGAAGGTTCGATCTGTGTTTTCCTCCATCGTGTGGTGAGAGTCTGGTTGGAGGTTCCAGGTGAGTTGAGGAGGAGAGTGTGGACAGGGAGTGGAAGCTGAGCAGCTTATAGAGACAGACTCCTTCTCCTTCACATCACCTGAGATCTCAATCCTGGGCTTTGGAGGAGAATCTGTGGTTTCAAATCAAATACAGATTGTACACTAAAAAAAGAGCAACAAGACTTGAGTCTACAGTCAGTGATAAAAGTACTCTTCTACATTTGAGAGCATTTTTTTTAAACTTTTACTCCAAGATCAGATGTTGGATTATGAATTGTTTATTAAATAATGTGTTTGTTGTGTTCTGATGTTTTCTGAATGTCAGCAGATTCATCGACATTTCTCCTCTGAACGTCTCACATGGCTTCATTTAATAATTAATAATTTGGCCAATTGCGGCCCTCGAGACGATATTCTGTGGCCTCCACCTCCATGTTTTGATGTTCTGGTTTCCTACTGTGTGTCTGTCCAGAGAATCCGGCATGCATGTGAGTGACATGGGGGGCGTGGAGGGGGGGTCCCGGAACGCACATGAAACAACGCTTAAAACAGCGCACTTGACACTCACAATGCAGTGGACTTATTCAGGCTAAACTGCAGTGACGGTACCAGTATTTGTGTCAGTGATCAATAAAGTGGCATCTTGAGCAAAGGCGACTTCTTTGTCCAGCGGAGAAAACGAATGACACGCACACACACACACACACACGCACACGCACACACACACACACACACACACACACACACACACACACACACACACACACACACACACACACAGATGTTGGATTATGAATTGTTTTTCTTTGTTTGTTAAATAATGTGTTTGTTTCTGGCTTCTCGTCATTTTTCTGATGTTTCCGAATGTCAGCAGATTCATCAACATTTCCCCTCTGAACTTCTCACATGGCTTCATTCAATAATTACACTACTTCATAATGAATCAAAGATTAGAGAAAAGTCCAAAATATGTACTAGCAGAACTTTTTTTCTCTTTTCTTTTCCCACCAATTACCTCACGACCCCTCAGATTTAATTTGTGACCCTATAGGGGAAAATTGAATGTTAACTTTCACTAATTAATGTTGTCAAAACTCTGATGGTAAATAGTACAAAAAACAGAACTTTTTTAACTTCTACCCCTCTAAGCAATAAATAAAAAGTCGGCATGTACAGGCAGTTTTCTCCAGGGATTAGTAATAGTAGTGAACAAAAAGTGTAAACATTTCAATCCCTGGTTGGTGTCTGTAGATATTTATATTCACATTAAAAGTTTAATAAAACAGAAACAAATAGACTCTTAAGCCTGATTAAAGCCTGGTTTATGCTTCTGCGTTTTCAGAGCGACGCAGACGCAAGACCCCCTTGCATCGCTTTTCACACCTCCTTGCGTCCTTGCGTGTGTCGACCCATTTTTCTAGGCTTGCGTCGAAAGTGCCGCAGCGCACCAGGCTGCGATTGGTCCGCTAACTACGTCCTTTACGGAGTCTCACATTTCATAGCCCGATACCGCCATTATTAAAACGAAGAATGTTTACGAGAGAACGGATCAGATTGAAGAACTTTTGTCGGAAGAAATGTGTAAATATGACCCGGGTTGGATTCATGGAGGGAGATCTCCGCAAACGCCGGTTTGCCGGTCGAGAGCTGCACAAAGTTGTGGAGGAAAATACGGGACAAACGTGTCCGCGATGAAAAGCAACAGTGGCGATGCACGGGGCAATAAAGTGTATGATAAATAAATAAACAAACCAACAACTTCCACACACAGAGACGTAAGACTTTTAGACACGCAAGACTTTTAGAACCATGAATTGAAGCGAGTGCGTCGACGCAACGACGCAGACGCAGAAGCAGAAGCGTGCGCAGCCTTAAGTAATAACATCTCAGATTGTTTTATGAAAAACAAAAGTCTCTTACCTTTCACTGTTATTTGTAATCCATCACATTCAGCTGTTGCTAGAAATGGCCGGTTCTCAACCCTGAAGTAGTATGTGTCTGTGTATGTTGTGTTTAAACTGGAAAATAAAGTGGTGCAGTTTTTCTGACTCAAGTCTCCAGTAAAACTCATCGGATATGTGGAAACTGTCCCACTACTGTTGAAAATCACCACGCTTCCATTTTTGCCAAAGTAAGGGCTATTTTTAATCCACACTCCAAACGGTGTAGTTTTGCTGTTTAATTTCTCTCCTTGTTTAAGTCTGAAGTTACATGGAATTTGCAAACAAGATCCAGTCAGTGCTTCCATCTCTTTTGGTGCAGTGATGAATAGATGTCTGGTCTTATAACAATCAGCAGAAGCAGAAGCACCTGTGAAACAAACTAATGATTAACAGTGGTGATTAAAATGTGTAAAAACACAACAATAACATGAACACAAAGAGAAATATACTTCAGCAGTAATGTTTTGTGTTGTTTGTTCTTTATTTCCCTGAACAGTTTTTGTGTTGATTCATCTTTTTGGTTTTACAACTTTCCCCCACAAGGCCGAGCCCAGTGGGACCAAACCCGTCTCTGTCTCCAAATAACTACGTCACTTTTGTCTCTGTGATAAAAGAGCTCAGCAGGAAAACACAGATTGTAACATTCACATGAATTTAGGTTGAAATGATGTTTTCCAAACAGTAAATGATTGAAGTGAAACACAAGTGAGTGAAGATGAAGCTCACCTGAGAGGAAGAAGACACTGTGCAACACGATGGCTGTCACCATCCTAACAGACTGGTCGGCCATGACACACCACCTGATTCACAAACACAACATCAGTGTTCTAGGAAGCGTTCAACATGCTGTGTGCAACCACAAGTTTCTGTGTGTGAAGAGACCACAGCTCACAAGTCTGTGGACGAGTACGACTCTGAGTGTTGGATGAGAATAAAACTATGAATGTCTCCCTCTTACCAAAGAAGCCCACGTCCATAACAGAGGGACAATTAGATCAAGTGCAGGTCTTTGTTTTAGCAGAGTTCTCCCCTTAACTGCTCATATCCGTGAGTCTATATCATCTTTATGTATCACACACATCACAATAATAATAATGTAGCATTAACAGTCAGTGACTTGAGTTTAGTCACTGTGAATAACTCTGAGTCTCTGTTGCTCTGCATTACAGGACTGATGAACCTCACACACCTATTGTGTTATTAACATTTAAACTTCAAATAAATGACTCACCCGGGTAGCCAAATTATTTCCTCTTTCATAGTTTCTACTTACTCTTCATCTCTAATATCTATTTAAATCTTCCAAATTCTCTTGATTGATACAACAGGCAATCGGTGAACTTGTTTGTGAATAATTAGAAAGAATCTCTTAACTTGGTATTTCAATAAAAAATCTCCGTTGCTTTGCATTACAGGACTGATGAACCTCACACTTTTATTGCGTTTATAAATTGTACTTTTATTGTACAATTCAAACTTTAAATAAATGAACCTGATAGCAAAAGCATTTCCTCATTCATAGTTTTACTTCCTCTTCATCTCATTTATTCAAATCCTTCAAATTCTCTTTGCATTGATACAACAGTCAATCAGTAAAATTTTTGGTGAATAATTATAATAAAATATCTCATAACTTGATGATATTTCAATACTAAAAATTGTAAACCCATAAAAAAATGAAGT